GAGGGCTTACTTCGTGAAAGGCAGAAATAGATCAATGCCCATTCGTGCAAAATTGAACCTTTGGGTACATAGCTTGATGAAGCCTTCTCGCTCTTCTTCTGTTATGTCAAATTCCTGTGAAGGAGGAACACCCACGACGACCCTTCAATACAGTACTTTACTGGCAGATCTACAGCGTGCTGTGAGCTTGGACACAGTTGCCACAGGTCTAAGGTCCAGCTGTTATAAAATTCAGCAAACATGATTTTCAAAGCTTTTGAAAGCTTGGAAATATTGCAGGATGTTGTGATGTTTTTGTGATACATTGTTGAAGGATAGGAGGGGACATATGTTATCATCAGTCGAAGAATGAACGATAAACGCATAAATTGTATCTGCATAAATCCAAACGGTACAACATCCAGATATTTCATACGTATAGCCGATGTACGGGTTTAAACTCGTTACCGTAACTTCTTTGAGTGGCATTTTAGAAGTTGGGAAGTACAATATAGAGCAAACTTTATGGATAACAACTTCTTTTTATTCGTGAGTGCGACGTTTCGATACAGATTCTTGTACCGATGTCAAGCATAAGAACAAACTTTATGGATAACAACTTCTTTTTATTCGTGAGTGCGACGTTTCGATGCAGATTCTTGTACCGTTGTCATTATGCGTGACATCGGTACAAGAATCTGTATCGAAACGTCGCACTCACGAATAAAAGTTGTTATCCATAAAGTTTGTTCTATATCGTTACCGTAAGGTTGAAATAACATGATTTGAATTAATATTGAAACGTTTAAGGTTTGGAGTAAGGTGGAAGTATTCACTGCTTTCTGTTATGTGTCCAGTAAATGGGGCGAAGGGACAGGACAAATTGCTGTTACATAATGAACTGAAAGACCTCGAGTAAGGAATCTCCATGCATACTTTTATGCCATGTTAGAAAATGAAACACAAACATCTGATAATTATGTTAATGTTTGATTTGCCATTTGTCTACACTGAATATGAACCTCCATTTATATTTGTATTTTAACCACAAACATGAAATGCGATGCGGTTGCTGTTCACCCCAAACCTCTAATGGATATTTATGTGAGAAACAATACGGGTGTGAGAACGTTGACCGTACTGAATGATGATGCTTTAGTACGTTTTTGCCGTTCTCATGGAGTTTTTGAAGCACATATATATCTGAATACTTCATACCATGTAACATAGATGATACGGAGGAATCCATACATAAACTATCAATCTGCTTCGTCATAAAATACAAAACAGAAATATTTATAAGAAAATGAAAACATTCTTACAGATTATTTCAGAAAGAATATGCCTAAAACTCGTTCTCAGCCATCGGAGAGCGTTACTCTTAATCTAGCGTGTCAGTCACATATGTGCTGGTTAATTGGACCACTTTTCACGTTTTTATATGAAGCAGACAGTTTTTCCTCACATGAAGGAACACACAAATGTTTTGTTAATGTTTTGTTTAAGACGATTTCAGCATTAGCCCAGTTGGTATAATACACTCAGATACAATACAAAACAGTCTTTCCTCAACAGTCGCTGTTTCGATGAAAAATAACAGACGGCTCTTTTACCTCCACTTTATCTGTTGTGATATAACCTATAAACATATTTCGAAATATCAGAGAGAAAGATTTTCATTGATCGTCCAGCTGGTATTCTTGGTGCGAAAAAGTGGAACGCCATCGTCCTTCCTCTCATTTGTCTTCGACCGTCTCTGCGTTTTTTGTTTGTTGTTGTTGTTTGTTTTATAGACCATTTGCACGAAGAGTGGATATTCGTACATACCAAGTGTCGTGAAACATGGAGGGTCGGTGTGGAGTCAGGATACTGTGTTTTAAAGGGTGGTCATATGAAAGTTTTTGCAGCAGGTTCGTGGGATAGCACTATAGCACTGGCTGTAGACTCAACACATCACCTTCTCTGTCTCTGTCAACCCGTCATTATTAAGATATGCCAGCTCAGGACATTGTTCTGCACCAACATGCGTGTGAGGTATATATAGTCTGCCTTCCACGCAGTCAATAATATCAACTGTCAAGTCTATCTGTCTCTGGTTTTAAGTAAGTAGTAGTATGGCATTGCGTAAATCTTCATAGGACTGTGGATCCTAAATACGTATACCAATATTTATGGCAGCATATGCTCCATTGCGAGTATGATGAAGTCTATGTTGTAAAACTCGGGGCTTCAGCCAGAGATGCTGCTATACTACAAGACATAAGGGTTTCTGTGTCCTGGTCACTGTCAGACCTTGTGTTACTGTTATGCTTAACGGTTGTCATCTAACCAGTTGGGGAGAGTTACTTCCATGGCTGTGTCTGTCCTAGTACACAAATGACCTGTCTCACGAAAACTTAACAAGAACAAGCTCAACTGATTGACTTTAAATTTAGTTCTCACATTTGTTACTACTAAACTGATATAGTTTTACACACTGTGTAGAACACCCCCTCAGTAGATAAAACATGAATATAGTATGACCAGAAATTATTGAGAATTTTAGCAATATGTTTAATTGGATTTCTAGTATAAACAACCTTGACCAGCTATCAAGTGCTTGGTTCCGTTCAAGAGAGACAACTCCGTTAATCCTTTTTCATTAGTTTGTGAAGAGTTATCCCCCTTTGTTTACTTGCTAGCAGACGACATTTTCAGTGATCCTCAGTATGGATGATTTAGAGAAGAGGAAGTTGATTTTAGAGTATTATAACAAGGACATCAGATCAGCTAAAGTGATTGAAAGTAGAACAGGCATCCCTTTGTCCACTGTTCATCGTGTTTTGAAAAATATTGCAAACGGATATGGCATTGAGTACCAGGGAGGCGCAGGTAGGCCCAGAAAATTCTGCTAATATTCACATTAATACGTGAATAATGAGTGAAAAAATATACAAAATATTAGAATCTTTAAGTTCTCAATAATTTCTGGTTGTACTGTATATCTTCACCTCTGAGACAGTTACTTGTTTCTTCCACCCTCCCCACACATTCGATATTTTTAGATACGCATCAATCTGAAGACCAAATCTGTTCCAAGACAGTGTTTATCGTGTTTCACGTACCGTTTTGGATCTTTGCCATCTGTTTTCAAAAAGAATTTAAAAACTATGTGCCAAAAAATGTAAGAAAATACTATGAAAAAATGACTACAAGGCTACATGTGTTGATGGCAACCACACTCGGTTTGGACTCCTCGGAGAGGACAGAGCTTGGCTAGTGGGCATTAAAACACAATATCTGATAGTTGCAGAATGTGATTTATAAATGATAATTTCATAGCACGTGTAGCACAAAAATGAATCCCCGAATTTGTCATCTCACTGGACTTCTTTTCAAGGGTTAACAAATAATAATAATAATAATAATAATAATTGCTTTGTATAGCCCCTATTTCCAGCTATATATGCAGCTCCTCAATGGTGCTTTACACGTTAGAAGTCACTTTATTACAGTTCAATCAGTAGATGAGAAAAGAAATGTTTTGAGTTTTCTCTTGAAAGTTGGGAGAGTGTCACTGTTCCTTATGTCAAGGGGGACCGCGTTCCACAGGGCGGGACCTGCAACCGAGAAGGCTCGATCTCCAGCCTTTAATGGAACAACCCGTTGCTCCTTCTGGGCAGAACGTAAGGTTGTAGATGGGTGGTAGACCGATAGCAGGTCCTTTAGATAAGCAGGCAAATACTCAACATAGAGAGCATTGTATGTCAAGACGAGTAACTTGAAACTGACCCGATGTCTAATAGGGTATATATTATGTCATTTATATATTTGGGTGTAGAATTTCGAAACGATCTTAGCAACGATCAGTATTAAGAACTTAAATTCAAAGATAACATATCTTAAATTTAAGATACGATACATTTTCAAAACTGTCGTACCCCGGTCTCAGATCATACATAACTATGATATCTATCGTAACTTTGACAGAACTCATTTGCATTGTAGGGTGCCTCCCAATGACGTCACGGGGATGTCCCGGCGCTGACAACAACGTTACGGAGTATAACTGAATACGTTTTGACATCGTCAGGTCACATGTATACATGACTTCCTGCACAACCGTACTTGTATCCTACATGTACAAGCATTGTTCTTATGATAAAGGTTTCCATGACAACCCTAAAACAAAGGCATCTTCAAGCGGCTGGAATGTTGCAAGTACAGTGTTACTCAATATTGTGATTGGAACTGATATAATGTGCTAAAGATGTAGACTTCAATATTTCCTCTTCGAGTTGACCACGCTGTGTGAAATCACTGATTTAACTTAAACAACAGAAACTGTCAAATTTTCAAAGTATATGATTTAATATCTATTGCAAGCTATGCCGGAATCTTGGATGAAGGTAATATGTATGGTGAGGTGAGGTGAGGTGTAATTGGGTTTAACGTCGTGCTTGAGAATATTTCGCTCATATGACGACGTGCATGCGTGTGTATGTGCGGCTGCTTGTACTAGCCGAAACTTAAGCTGGTTTTATAGTGCTAGCCCACTGAGATACCATGCCGCAGTGAAGCATGAATACCCAACTCAGACACATTATACTGACTCCGAGCCGACCAGTCCTTGCTGTACCCATTTATGCCGAGCGCCAGGCAGGGACCAACAAGTACCATATTTTAACGTCTTTTGGTATAACGCAGTCGGGGATCGAACCCGCGACCTTTCGCTCTCCGGGCGGACGCTCTAACCACTACACCACGGAGGCGGTCTAATATATATGGACGACAGTTGCCCAGCTATATTAGATTTGGGACAGTTTTACGATAATTGAGGACTACGATAGTTTGAAAATAAGCTACGACAGCTGCGATTTCTTTACAATACTTATTATAATAATTACGATAATTCCGAAAATCTAGGTCTTAGTCTAAAGAGACCACAGTCCGTTTGGGTTAATATGATACCTATGAATCACAATCTAACTCCAAATCGGTTCATGATAAAACATTCAGTTTAACACAGAATGTAAATTATAATGAAGGCATCAGACCAACTCTGGAAAAACAGTTTCATAAGGTTTGTCTCCAAAATAAAAGTTACTTAACAAACTATCATCATTTTGTTTTGACATTCCGTGTGATGTTTTGACATTCCGTGTGATGTTTTGCGAGGGTAACGTAACAGTAAATTGTTGCAGATACTGCCTGGATATGGCATGGCTTTCTGTCAAGTCATTTACATCAGCAGCTTGTCTGAGATTTGAACACATTTAACGCTATAAATATTCCTCTTAGTTATCATCGAACATGACTCCAAGGCTGTATATTAACGCGACAAAATATATGTGTGTACAAAACCGGCTGCAGGAACCTTTCACTCCGTCTGTACAAAACCGACAGTAGAGACCTTTCACTCCGTCTGTACATAAACGGCAGGAGGGACCTTTCACTCCCTCCTTTCACTCTGTCTGTACAAAACCGGCAGGAGGAACCTTTCACTCCGTCTGTACAAAACCGGCAGCAGGAACCTTTCAAACCGGCAGGAGGAACCTCCTCCGTTTGTACAAAACCGGCAGGAGGAACCTTTCACTCCGTCTGTACAAAACCGGCAGCAGGAACCTTTCACTCCGTCTGTACAAAACCGGCAGCAGGGACCTTTCACTCCGTCTGTACAAAACCGGCAGCAGGAACCTTTCACTCCGTTTGTACAAAACCGGCAGCAGGGACCTTTCACTCCGTCTGTACAAAACCGGCAGGAGGAACCTTTCACTCCGTCTGTACAAAACCTTTCACTCGTCTGTACAAAACCGGCAGCAGGAACCTTTCAAAACCGGCAGCAGGGAGCTTTCACTCCGTTTGTCTGTACAAAACGGCAGGGAACCTTTCAGTTTGTACAAAACCGGCAGCAGGGACCTTTCACTCCGTCTGTACAAAAGCGGCAGCAGGGACCTTTCACTCCGTTTGTACAAAACCGGCAGCAGGAACCTTTCACTCCGTCTGTACAAAACCGGCAGCAGGGACCTTTCACTCAGTTTGTACTGAAAAATGTTATTTCCTGAGGTGATCAGGGTATCATCTGCTTATATATATCCCGTGAAGACACATTCTTGAATAACACATGGAGGTTATTAGAGCAGAAAACAACACTGTTTGCGTTAGGACTATCAACTTCCATCTATCATTTGAAAAATAGTAATGGCAGCTTTTCTGTTGACAGCAAAATGAGGACAGGTTGGTGCACAAACCAACTGCGTATTTAAATAGGATTCTCCGCGTGTCAGTGGGTGTTTGACGGCGAGGTGCATTGGTTATTATGGTGTTACTACTGTACGCATGAGGACAGTGGAGTCCACTTCGGCCTGTTGCATCTCATGTTACTTCCTTTAACTGTAGGACATGTCACGTATGCGTGTTATCTGTCTGAAGATCACGTGTTCATTAAACAGCTCCTCTCAGAAATGTTTATGAGATGCATGAGATGAAAAAGTCCTTGGCAATATATCACTAACATATATTCATAAAACGCATCAAATATGAACATCGTCTGCTAAAGGAAGCTCTTCAAAGTTGTAAATGCAACGTTTATTTCTTATTAGCTGGGTGACCACTTACAAATGACGCTCAGTACATTTTCTGACACGAAGGTGAAATTAACATGTCTTAAACATAATTTAACCAGAATCATAGCCCTGAATGTTAGGAAGACGGGGTGTTGCATTACTTTTTAATATACTAGATACTTGATACTTAATTATACTTACAGGGATTACATCTGGTTGTTACCTTGACAGACGGCTGATCTGGGTTCGTATTTGCCTGGGAAAATCTGACACAGAGACATATTAAATCCAGACGGTGGAATAGCAATCACGAGTCGTTACCTTCAGTATTGTCACAGACATGACTGTTCTGATGGTTGTTTTTGTGAACGAAGTTAAAAACGTGAAGCATTTTCTGCTAACACAAGAAGTACTAGATGGAAGCAGCCTACTTCACATCCATATCAACGAACGGATCATGTAAAACATACATACACGTACTAGTGAGTGAGTTTAGTTTTACGCCACACTCAGCAATATTCCAGCTATATGGCGGCGGTCTGTAAATAATCGAGTGTGGACCAGACAATCCAGTGATCAACAGCATGAGCACCGATCTGCGCAATTGGGAACCGATGACATGTGCCAACCAAGCCAACGAGCCTGACCACCCGATCCCGTCAGTCGCCTGTTACAAGCATGGGTTACTGAAGGTTCATTCTAACCCGGACCCTCAGGGGTCATACACGTACTAGTGGCTATAGGGGTCACTATAGGGGTCATACACGTACTAGTGGTTATAGGGGTCACTATAGGGGTCATACACGTACTAGTGGCTATAGGGGTCACTATAGGGGTCATACACGTACTAGTGGCTATAGGGGTCATACACGTACTAGTGGCTATAGGGGTCACTATAGGGGTCATACACGTACTAGTGGCTATAGGGGTCATACACGTATAGGGTCACTATAGGGGTCATACACGTACTAGTGGCTATAGGGGTCACACGTACTAGTGGTTATAGGGGTCACTATAGGGGTCATACACGTACTAGTGGCTATAGGGGTCACTATAGGGGTCATACACGTACTAGTGGCTATAGGGGTCATACACGTACTAGTGGCTATAGGGGTCATACACGTACTAGTGGTTATAGGGGGTCATACACGTACTAGTGGCTATAGGGGTCACTATAGGGGTCATACACGTACTAGTGGCTATAGGGGTCACTATAGGGTCATATAGGGGTCATACACGTACTAATGGTTATAGGGGTCATACACGTACTAGTGGCTATAGGGGTCACTATAGGGGTCATATACGTACTAGTGGCTATAGGGGTCACTATAGGGGTCATACACGTACTAGTGGCTATAGGGGTCACTATAGGGGTCATACACGTACTAGTGGCTATGGGGTCATACACGTACTAGTGGTTATAGGGGTCACTATAGGGGTCATACACGTACTAGTGGCTATAGGGGTCACTATAGGGGTCATACACGTACTAGTGGCTATAGGGGTCACTATAGGGGTCATACACGTACTAGTGGCTATAGGGGTCACTATAGGGGTCATACACGTACTAGTGGCTATAGGGGTCACTATAGGGGTCATACACGTACTAGTGGCTATAGGGGTCATACACGTACTATAGGGGTCATATAGGGTCATACACGTACTAGTGGCTATAGGGGTCATACACGTACTAGTGGCTATAGGGGTCACTATAGGGGTCATACACGTACTAGTGGCTATAGGGGTCATACACGTACTAGTGGCTATAGGGGTCACTATAGGGGTCATACACGTACTAGTGGCTATAGGGGTCATACACGTACTAGTGGCTATAGGGGTCACTATAGGGGTCATACACGTACTAGTGGTTATAGGGGTCACTATATAGGGGACGTGGAGGTTTAGCTCGATGGTTGAAACCACCTATAAGGCGATTGTGTCCGCAACACGAACAATAGTTGCCATGCAATATTGGCCACACTGATGGACTGAGTAATTCTTTAATAGAAAGCAAAATATCCCTTGCATGAGATGATTGTAGATTATGTTTGAGTCAGTGACAATGGGCGGATCTTCCTGCTGCATCATGATTACAGCGTGGCGAAAGTGTGCCGGTGACAACCCAAGCTGCAACACAACGTCCTCCATTTGGACCGATTAGTCCAATTTAATTCATTGAACGATTTACAAGGAATTTGTGTCTTGTCAATACCACGTGGACTTTATCTCTTACTTGAAGTTGTTGTAGCTAATAAACTACTTAGTAGATTATATTCCACAGAGACACATATACTGGCATGTATATGTATACGTGTGTGTGTGTGTGTGTGTGTGTGTGTGTGTGTGTGTGTGCGTGTGCGGGCGGGCGGGCGTGCGAGCGCGCGCATATATATCTGGTTATGTGTATGTATATATTTTATGTACGATTTATATATACATATTTGTTCATTGAAGTCTCACTTTATATACAAATATAAACTCCTACTCTTAAACACTTAGATACTCTTGTTTTTGTTTGTTTTAAATTGATAACCCATACCTATTTACTGCTTTCCTATGTATAAGTAGATTCTATTGGTAACCTGAAAACTTCATGGCAAAAACCCATGGCTATTAAGTAGGTATAATGAAAAATAATACCGAGATAAAGTAAACATGTTTAACAACTAAGGAGAAACAAGGAACATATCTATGTCGTCCTAGCCAGAAGATAGAAGATATGTTATGTCTTTCAAACAGAGGTTTGTGTCATTTGCGAAAATCATTTCAGAGCCGGTGGATATTTTGAGTAGATTGCCGTTTTGAATTATGAACACACCGCAAATGGACGTTAAAATAAAAAAGTAAGTATCTGTAAATACTTTTAAAGATCAATATACTTACCCGAATACACGTAAACAATGAAACATTATCTTGAAAAATGGGCATCCTTGGTGATGCGATCGTCAAGTTGAACGTTTCTCTCACAGGTTGTTACATCAATTCAGGACCCTTTATTCAGTAATCAGTTTCGTCATTTTTCAACAGTTTGGTACAGTTAGGGTTTACGTTTCCCGAGGGACAGTAGTGTGGCATTGCACTTGACCAATCTAAACGGCGGTGATGTATTGAAATGACATACAGTTAGTACTTGGTGGCAGGCTAAGTACTTGATGTTCAAGCTCAGCTGCTCACGAGGGGGTTGCCTGAGATGCTAAATGTGTCACACTGGCGCTTGGTCATACATCATTTATGCAAAAACGCGACACACTGATCTGAAACATGCACGCTTTGTGACGTATTGGCCATCAAGCATAGAACCTGACACTAAACATATCCACACGAATGCAAAGCAACGCAAAGGAGTTGATTGAAGGTTCGTGGGGACACTCAACCGTTCTTGAAATTTGATCATCTGAAAAGTTCCAGATATCTTTAGGGACGACGATGACACAGTGTATACGTTACAATTGTTTCGTCCCAAATTGTCTGAAAACTAAGGCAAAAGGAATAACTCATATTTTCAACTAACATACATTTTCATATGTTTGAACGTGGAAACGAGTTTGTCTTAACGTCGGTATATACTGCATTGTATTTGCGTCACGGTATATGGGCACAATTAAATTATTCGTAGAACACACGAGCAGGTATTGCTAAATTAACTAAACTACCGTCCAAAAAAGTATACCACTAGTTTCGAAATCCAATTAAAAGAGAACAAAAACGATTTCAATAAAATATGTTTTATATTTCAGTAGAGTATTCATTCCTGCATTATTTAAACATGAACACAGGTCAGAAATAACAATGATAAAGAAATGAAAAGGAAACAAACACATGAGGGTCCAAAATGGATCATTAGAAGAAAACTGAACAAACAGAAAGTTTGTCAAAATGCCATTTAGAGCCATGTACTGCCTCAGTAGCGAGTATGTCCTCCTTGAGCATTGCCACAAGCAACAATACGTCCGCGCATGGATGACGTCAAGCGTCTAATGACGTTGCGTGGAATCTGTTGCCAGGTGTCAGTCAGGCACTGTTCCAGCTGCCGCACGTTGACTGGGGTTAGGGGTTAAACGTTCTCTAATAGAGAACGTTTAACCCCTAACCCCAGTCAACGTTGACGGCCATCAGCTGTGAATACGCAGAACCTGCTCTTATCCGAAAAGAGGACACGTGACCAGTCTCGGACTTGCCAACGTCGAACTTGTCTTGCCCACTGGAGCCTGTTACGCCGGTGTTGTTGTGTCAGTACCACCCAATGGCATGGACGTCGTGCTCGAATACCATGTTCACGCAGTCGTCGTGATACTGTCTGTCGACAGATACGATGTCCGAGTGCCGTTGTTGCCGTTGCTGCTGCCGATATGAAGCATTTCCTGAGGTGGATTACCCGGATGTTGCGGTCCTCCTGGGTCGTGGTCACCCGCAGTCTCTCACTTCTCGGCCTGTGTACTGTCTGCCCTGTCTGGCGGAGACGCTGAAATAACCTGGTGATGCATACTCGGGTGCAGCCA